TTAGCAAGCACCAGTGAGGCTGATTTAAGATGCATGTCCTATGTGTTAAGGTGCAGGTATCTCAGGTCATTACACTGTGACCCATTAAGTGCTTTGTCCAAACCACTCCAGTGTGTTCTGATCCAATTGTATGGCTCCTGGGAAAGAACCCTTGAATGTTTGTGGAAGAGACTGTGTGTTCGTATGTTTCTTCTGCTTTTATCTTTTCCTACTTTTTGCCTTCTGTGTATAGTGAATGATCTGCATGTATTGTTAAGCTAAACTCAGTGAGACTAGACTTGACTTTCCTCCCCACATAATCAGCTCTGGCCCTTACTGACAAATATTGGCTTGTTTAAAACGAATCTTTCCATCTGTTTGTGTTATTTATAGAAGGAAAAGATTTACTCTTTACTCTTTTATAAACAGCCAAGGATCTAATACATAGGCAATTGTTTTAATCTTTACAAAGTACTAATCTAGAGTCCTTTCTCCCGTATACTTTTGAACAGGTATTCAACCTGACCACTATTTACCTATATACTAACTATAACTTCAGTTCCACACAAATCGTGTGTGTGCATGTTTGTGTGTGTGTGTGTGTGTGTGTGTGTGTGTGTGTGTGTTTAACTTCAAAGCAACTGTTATCTACTTCGTTGATTCATGGAAATATTCATCCTTAAATTTCCTGAAATTTTCCCTCCTCATTACTTAGACTATATTCATTGATATTTGTTACAGAAGTTGCTGAAATCTATGATATTAATTTTCCCCATTTCTTACGGGGAAACAGATCCTGACACATACTCTCATCGTTCGTAATGCTTATTTCCAATCTAATTGTTACAGCCTAACCGTAAGAGCACTGGCTGTATCTCAGGCAGCACAACTGAACCGCAGAGCGCTTACTGCTTATGTTTTCTGTCTTCTCATATAAAGTCAAACGGCTTTTCTTTAGAAAAAGAAAGCCCTCAGCACTATGCTGGTGGAGAAATGCTTAATAATACACTGCTCTATCTCCCTCACTCCTAGTAAGTTCTGTAGTAATAAGCAGAAGTTCTTCAGAATGTACACCTCACGGAAGCAGAGGTACCCAGCATCCCAGCTGTTGACATGAGATTTGAGAATGCCAACTAACCTCAGGTGCATGACCAGGTTACGCCGCCACTACACCCGGGCCCCGTTTATAGACTCACTCTCCTAGGGACTTCTTGAATGAGGTTCTCAGCGCGCTTGTAATTTTCCTTGTTGCCTGTTGCCTGCTTCGAAACTCTTATCACTGGGGCAAAAAATAAATAAATAAAATAAAAAGCAGGCATAGTTCTGGCAGTCAGCCTGTTGGCGCCTCCTGGTGGCTGCTCAACTGCTAAGCTGTTGCACGCGCTGGTTTGTTAATGGCTGGGTTGCCATATTGTGCCTGAGGCGACAGTTTGTAGGGTGCTTATCCTATGAAGGGCTAAAACACTAATTATGTATAACAATAGCGGCGGCATCGTAAACCCTAGTGGATTACTGCGGAGTTATGATGCCGCAAGATTCCCTGGCAGGGAGCATCTAACAGTCGAGTGCATGCCGGGCCACCAGAGTGATTTGGACAGCTGCTTCTAGAGAAGGGTGAATTCCCTTGCAGAGCAGTTCCGCAGGCTCCCTTGAGGATGGTGCTCAGCTGGGAACATGGGATTGCGTACTAAGAGGCTCCAATCAATGACCACTGTGACCTTTTGGTTACTTTCTCCAGAGAGAGACTTACTTGTTCTCCTGGGGATCATCCTTGGCAAGCTTTCTAAAAATCGCTGTGACAGAAAAATCTTCCTCAAAAGTCACGTTTTAAATGTCAAAAAAAAAGAAAGAAAGAAAGAAAGAAAGAAAGAAAGAAAGAAAGAAAGAAAGAAAGAAAGAAAGGGAAACTTTTATGTGCCAGTGAAGTGTCTATAATTTTAATTGATGTGTGGTTTCGATAACAGCCACCTAATCTGTTTACAAGACATCTAATCAATAGATGCTCTATTGATTTCCAAAGGGGAGATGATGTAGAAAAACCAATAAAAGAAAACTTTCCATTAGAGGGCACACAAACAGAACTTTTCCTTTGGAAAAACACTCATTCTGTGTTAAGATGCCATTCTAAATTTTCATACTCTTGGGTCAAAAGAGAAAAGAAAACATTACATTTTCTCTATTTTAGCATATAATTTGTTGAATTTCATGTATGTTTTGTTTGGTTTTGTCTTTGAAACAACATCACCCTGTATAACCCTGGTTACCCTAGAACTTGCTATGTGAAAGAGCTGGCCTTGAACTCATAGAGATCTGCCTGTCTCTGCCTCCCAAGCGCTGAGATTAAAACCATGAGCTACCTACCGTGCATAGCTTAGCTTTTTTAAAAAAAATATTAGACATTAGCAAATCTTTTTATAGATTAGAAATGCTAAAAAGGAAGGACTGGAGAGATGGCCCACCAATTAAGACCATTGGTTGTTCTTCCTCAATACACAGGTTGGATTTCTAATACTCATCTGGTGGCTCACAACTATTTATAACTATATTTCCAGGGGATTACTAGCCTTTACTAGCCTTTGAGCACCAGCCATGTGCAATATACACAAACAGACACACATTCAGACAGACAAAATGCTCATACGTGCAAAATAAAATAAATGTAAAAGACAACCAAAAAGGAAATGGTAGCTAGAATTAACATATCAAATTTTAATGTGTGTAGATTTAAAGAATATTTCATCAATTTGTAGAAGTAATGATGTAATGAAATGTTACAGGGGTGATGCTTAACTATCTTGTCTTCATAAATAAATCATGGGAAATCTGAAGCCGTTTTACTTTAGAAATTTTTAAAGCTTTTTTTAAAAAATTGTAATTCTTTTTTAAAAAAATAAAACAGAATCTATATTAATTTCTTTATGATTTTTTTACCGATTTTTTGTTCACTTAGTTGGGATAGGAAAGAGATCTAGCTTTCCAGCACTTAAACTTAACTTTCTATGTAATGAGCATTAATTCCAGGAAGGTAAGAGACAAAGTCAAATGCAGTGAGAATGCTTCTCACTTGACTGTGTCTACTTGAGCCAGCAATTTATTGAAATAAAAGTGCAGATGCAAACATATGTTTGCTGAACTACATCATCAAAAATTTAAGTTATGGTACAGATGTGCTGAAATTTAAAAAAAAAAAGATTGGAAATTTTTATAATTAAAATATTTTTAAGGGATAGTTGGCATTTTTCACCCATCTCTTTGACAGGTTTCTCTTAGTAATTTGAGGGTATGGGGTGATATGAAGAACCTAGTCTGAATATAAAACAGTGTGCTCTTTAGCTGTTTTCTGTTGCTGTTGTTTGATGTAATCTACCATTTAATCATACATTCGTCAAGATAAACCCTGTGACTGACGGGGCTGTTGGACAGAACTCTTGACCTCATGTGACCTCACCACAAAACTGCCCAGCCTGCATGTGCCTTCAGCTAGTTGTGCTGGAAGTGGCTGTGTCTTGCATTTGGCGACAGGAGGTGTCAGCTGCATGGTCAACTCCTTAATTGCTAATCAGACTCTCGAACCACCACTATTCATGAGTTGATTTGTTTTCATGTACACAACTTCACATCAGACATGGTACCTCTTTAGAACTGCAGAGGTTAAGCAACTAGGCATGGAGAAACAAATGTTACTATCTCTTGTTAGCTGCCAAACACACACCCACTAAACACACTTGCTGTTGGCATGCTGCAGCTGGGGACCGTGGACACTGCGGTAAGTGGAAAAGACAAGGTCTTCCTGGTCTCAGAGAGTCCTTACCCATAAGCACGCTGCCTTCATCCCCTATAAAGGCTGCAGCATGACTCACAAGAGCGACTCACCCTCAGATCCATTGCCCCACTTTTTTTTTCAGTCCCTGAAGAGCACTGGACCCTTCACATTGATAACTGTGTGTTGCTTTCTAATGAACAGCACAGTGCTTTATAAGTGAAACAAGAGAACCATGTTGGGGCATGTAACACTCTCCACAGTTCATTTGATTCCTATATATAAATACGATAGCTATGTTACTATCTTCACATGAGTCAGAGACCTCTACATCCCATGTCTCCATAATTCCTACCTGCTCCTCCTAGCACATCACAAAAGGCACACATCTTAACTATGAAAGGGTAAAGATTCGTTTTGGATTCTGTTATTAATACATCCTTGATCATCCCGTGGCAGCTTGATCCTACCTAGTAGTATCAGAGAACAGGATGTTTAAACAAATGTGATTTTCCTGGTAGCTGCCACAGCAAATCAATAGCTTGTTTCATAGCAGGAAATTGTGTTAGTGAACGTTGCATCTCCTTCTGTCAATCACCCCATTCATTACATGTTGAGGCTGCCCCCCTCCCCCACCACCAACCCCTGTGTGGTTTCTTTTCCCAAGAATGAAGAACATAACATCAAGCGTCATGTGTTTAATATATGTGTGCAGTGCTGTCAATTGCTTTGAGATTGCATGAATATGATATGGATTTCATAATCTTGCCTGGGATATACAATGCATGCTGAACGTAGGAACATACGTAACCAGTATTCCTGTTTACCTGTAGAGATGCTTAGGAATCCCAAAGAAAGATCTCCCAAACAAACAAACAAACAAGAGGAACTCACCAATGGAGGGGAAAGCTACAACCACCCAACAATTTTTAAAGTGAATTCCAAACTCATTTTTGGTTATCTTCAGTGACATTGAAGACAAAGTGCTCTTCCTGGTCGTTTTCCTTCCTGTATAAATCCAAGGAGCATGCATATATCCATAAGAGTGAAACTGTTCTCAAATGAGTACAAACACCATGATTAAATGAAGTTCTTTTTTTTTTCTTCAATAAGGAAAAAAAATCTATTTCTATGCTCCTACTTGCTGAACACGCTCTTGCCTATTGATATAAATGGCCTTATAGTTTCATCCAAGCATTCACCCCCGCGGAATGAGAGATGCTAGTTTGTGATGGAATAACCGTGGCTCTGTTTTCCACAGCCAGAAGTTGAGCTTTAAGGAGCGGGTGCGCATGGCTAGCCCAAGAGGCCAGAGCATTAAGAGCAGACAAGCATCAGTAGGTGACAGGAGATCCCCGAGCACTGACATCACTGCTGAGGGCAGCCCCACCAAAGTCCAGAAGAGCTGGAGCTTCAACGACCGAACCCGCTTCAGGCCCTCACTACGCCTCAAGAGTTCCCAGCCAAAGCCAGTGATAGACGGTAAGCCTGGTGTTTGTGCCGATTTTTAGCTTGATAGACTGCTGTGTGATCAGGAAATGACTCGTTCTCTGTGGAACTGTTGAAGGTATGAGGAAGCATCCCAGGGAAAGAAATTGTTTGTTCTTACTGGAAATTTGTTAGTTGCTCTGGGTGAATATATAGAACATGCCTTAGTCTTGAGAAACAACTTGGGCTAAATCTATGTCTCAGAGAAGGTGACTGTCTGGAAATATAGAACAAGGCTAGGGTTTATCATGTGCAAGACGCTGTTTTTCATGACTGGTGGCACTTTTAAAAAAAATAAAAAAGAAAGAAAAAGAGAGACAAGGAGGG